ACAAACCAAGGATTTGAACATGATCGTTCGTGGGTGTACGTTGATTGATCATGTGTGTGTGCATTTGTTTGTATTATTTTGTTCTAATAAGATGGATTGGAATTTTAAAATAAGCAAACAGATAATAAAGAAATTAAAAATTAATAAAAATTTTATACCCCTTTGTACATTCTCAGGTCAACATTCCATTAACATCATATAGGTAGTTTCTTTTTTTTTTATTTTTAAATGAATAAAAGAAATATCATCTCCATGCATCATTCACCATAGTATTTTTTTAAAAAATTGATTTGGGCTTTTCTTTAGAGCGCAGATACTGTCGTATATTAGAGCATTCACCTTTCTTAAGTTTCTATATGTATTGCAACCTAATCCTCCTTAGCTAATGAAATAAAATAAATGAAGCTATTTTTATTTATTTCCAATTGAATTAATTTATCAATTCGCTTCTGCACATATATGCTTTATTTTTAAAATAAAACTCTTATAATCAATATGGCTTTTTCTTAAGATACAGGCTACTAGCTTCCTAAAACCATATGCTTGTCAGCAATTTTAGAAATATAATTGGTGACAATGTTTTATAATTCATGAAATTCATCTCGGGGCAATTAGGGACAATAAGTCACAACCCTAAGGTTTTTAATTTGTGAATCACAATCCTTCTATTTTCTGTTTTAATTTTTATTTTCTATTTTTTCTTAAATTGAATTTCTATCCCTTCAAATTGCTAAAAACCACAATTATGTTGGTAATTGCATGAACCTAGTCCTTTGAGTTTGATATCTAGACTTTGTCCATTGTTATTATTGCGGTAAGGTATGCTTGTCTTTAAGCAGGCGCATTTTAAATGCAACAAAAATGAAGAGATTAGTTTGTGATCGTTGTAGTTGAAGAGCTCAAAAGTTTGAAGTGATTAGTTTGTGATCATAATGGTAAAGAGACCAACTTATGATCATTTTGGTGAAGTGATTAGTTTATGATCATAATGGTGAAGAGATCAGTTTGTGATCATTGAAGAGCTCAAAAGCTTAAAGTGATCAGTTTGTGATCGTAATGGTAAAGAGATCAAATTGTGATCGTGTTAGTTGAAGAGCTCGAAAGTTTGAAGTGATCAGACTATGATTGTAATGGTAAAAAGATCAGCTTGTGATCATTTTAGCGAAGTGATTAAGTTGTAATCATAATGGTGAAGAGATCAACTTGTGATCATTGAAGAGCTCGAAAGCTTGAAGTGATCAACTTATGATTGTAATAATGAAGAGGTCAACTTGTGTTCATTGAAGATCTTGATAGTTTGAAGTGATCATCTTGTGATTGCAATATAAAGATATTAGCTTGTGATCGTTTTTGTTAAGCTTGGAAGCTCATAATTGATTATCTTGTGATTGTGATAGTAAAAAGACTAGCCTATGATCATTTTTTGAAGAGCTTGAAAGCTCTTAGTTAATCAGCCTGTGATCGTGATGATAAAGAAACCAACTTGTGATCATTTTTTTTGAACTTTGTATATCGTGAGAGGTTTGGTTGTCAACATCGCTTTGTGTTATTGTGTGTTTCTATGGTAGGTATCTTGTAGTCATGAGGACGAGGGGGAATTCTTGGTCTGGATGTTTTGGGATTGTGTTTGGATTTGGGAGTTCGTGGTTGGTTGTTAAATTGCAAGAGTTTGAAAGCTCGACATCACTCGTACTTGATAGTTTCACTATTGTGTAGTGTAGGAGTTGTCGTAATTCGAGACAATTGGAAGCTAGACTTTGTTGAGGTGCAAGAACTTATTTGCTCAAAAATTGTGCATGAACTTAAAAGTTCATGACCTTTGGGGTTAATGGTGTATCTACTGTGGAAGCTACTAGGGCTCTAGTTTCAAGCAAGAAGAATACTATCGTTGTGGGAAAAACATCAATAGATATTAATGGTTGAGGTGATAGAAGATGAATTCTTTGTGTTTTGTTGTTTTGTATATGGAAAAATGTTTTGTTGTGTGATTTGTTGTTTGACTTGTTACTTTGGATTATGTTCATTGTTAGTGATTTGGTTGTCATTTTCATGTTTATGTCTTTGTTATGGGTGCAAGAGCTTGTCTACTTAGGAATTGTGTAGGAATGATGTTTGTGTAAGGGACGAGAAAGCTCATCTTATCAAATATCACGTATGAACGAGAGTTGTGTGAAGGGCACAAGAGCTCATTCACTTGGAAAATCGCACACAAACTCAAAGGTTCGTGTAAGGGACACAAGATTTCATTTACTCGGAAATCGCGTGTGAACAAAGGTCGTGTGAAGGGCACAAAAACTCATTTGCTCAAAAATTGTGTGCGAACAAAAGTTGTGTGAAAAGGTGGGAGAGCTTGTTTGCTAAAAAATCACGCACAAACTCGAAGGTTCATGTAAGGTAGCTCTTTTGCTCAAAAATCGTGCATGAACTTGAAAGTTTTTTACTATACTTATGAGTGACGTTAGGTGAGTCATATGGTAGTTGATGCAACTTTGAGGAAAGGAAAAAAAGGAAAAAAGGGTTTCGATAGTAAAATAATAAACAACTTCATTGCATTTGTCTGATTTTGATCAAAATGATATTGAATATAATAATTCAAATATTAGTAAAGTTTATTTCTTACATGTACGTAGCTAGTAATGATGTCATACCATGGTATGGACGACATATTCAAATACTAATAAAGTGTATTTCATGCATCTTCATAGCTAATAGTGATATTGATGTCATATCATGGAGTAATATAAGAATAACTTTCTTAATTTAGCTTCCCGTCGTAAAATGATTGATGAAACCTATTTTGATATTTATCAACGAAAATATCATGTTCATTTTAGCTTGCAATATGATGCTTATTTTGTGCATGCTATATGTTGAGCTCAACATGTTGATGTCATTAATGAAGGTATGATTGTGACATTCGTCAATGAGCTGCCTTAGGGAAATCAAGGAGGCGAATGACTCTCCTTACTGAGCTGGGAATTTTGCATGGAGTGAGTGTCTTAGGTTGATCTATAAGTTGTGTACTCCTCTATTGTTGGAACGTTGGTTTCTTAGTGAATGTTATTGTTCTCCTGGTGTAAAGCCTAGAGTTCATATTCGTAACATATGCGATCAACTTCATAATATACATGATCAACTTCATAACGTGGGTGATCGATCTTGCATTGTGGGTTGAGGGCTTTCAAGGATTCTTCTTATGTCTTTGCATGGCTTCCACACACCATAATAATTCAACATTGGATGGTGTGATTGGTAGGTCCATGGTGGCAGTAGTTGTCACGAGTTCCACAAACGAAATTGTAGTGGCAAAAACTAGAGGTTGGAGCCCTAAGATTGAGTCAGGGTTATCGGTTGTTATGGAGGTTCCTACTATGTTGTTGTTCATTGTATAGATTTGAGTGGAATCATGTGTGGCCGGAGGATAGTTTCACTTCGACTTGTGGTGGGTGTCAAATGTTCTTACTAAAATCTACTAGTACTTTAATGATAAGGACAACATTTTAGTTGTTCCAATATCCATAGTGGGGAATGGTATGTGCAAAGACAATTTGACGCTCAAATTATAAGAGAATTTAGTTAAGAATGAAAGTAGTGTAGAATGATACCTAGTGTGTCATATATAGGTGATTGATATTATCTCTAAATTTTGAGATAATATTGTATGATATCTGAGAGATACATTTTGGTGATTGTATGGAGATATTGTTATTAATTAATAGAAATATTGTTCCTAATTAGTAGACATATTGAATAATGTGCTTGATTACAATATTTTATAAAATATTTATGTTAAGATATCCAACTATCCATTAAGAGTTAACCGTCTATAGTTTCATTTTATGATGATGGATTGTAGACCTAATGTGGATGAGCAAAAAAAAGACCGACTCAACTTGAACTAAGTGGACTATACAACACTAAACATACATATGACTTTTTAGCCCAAATAAAGAAAAAAATTAAAAATACATAAAATAATTTTAAAAAATAACATTTTACCAAAATAGGTTGAAATGGCAACGTGGCACCGTGAACGGAAAGCGTAGGAGGGTGGGAGATATTCCTAATATACAGAAGGCTCAGCTAGTGTAGGCGCCATGTATGACCATCTTGCATGAGGTATAGCGATCCGGCTTTTGATACAAGGCGCAGGGGGCCCATGCGATTTCAAAAGAAAAATTATGAGCTAATAGACTTGATTTCAACAACTAGTGCAATACCCATCAAACCTAGAGAAAAAAAAAATCTGCAAGTCAAATTGTGAGTTATCATGAATGTGTGTAATTATATATATTATTAATTATATTTTGTAATATAATTACACACACTCATGATAACTCACAATTTGATTTGCAGATATTTTATTTTCTTCTCTCTATGTTTGATGGGTATCGCATTAGTTGTTGAAATCAAGTCTATTAGCTCATAAAATTTTTTTGAAATCGCATGGGCCCCTGTGCCTTGTATCAAAAGCCGAATCACTATACCTCATGCAAGATGGTCATACATGATGCCTACACTGGCTGCGCTTTCTGTATATTATGAACATGTCCCACCCTCCTGCGCTTTCCATTCACAGTGCCACGTGATTGTTTCAACCTATTTTGGTAAAATGTTAATTTTTAAATTTATTTTATGTATTTTTTATTTTTTTTCTTTATTTGGATAAAAAAAAAACCCATACATACATATAAATATATATAACTAATAAGTTTTATCTTATTTATTCTTATATATTGATTAGTTGAAACATGAGTAGTATTCCCTACAATTCAAACTCAAAACATGAAATCATTTTATATTAATCGATTAATTATTAAAAAAATAATTGTAATAGGAGAAAGGTAGAAAGTAGAAACATTATAACGAGCTAATCTTGAACGAGTGGAGAAATAAAGAATACAGTATTTACATTTGTATAAAAAAATTATTATTATTGGGAATTTTGGATAGGTACATAGACCACCGCAGATGACAATAGGAAAGGAAAAACCGCATCCCTTACACGTAAGGAGAAGCTACAAACTACACAGAACACAGACTAATCCCCATACTTCACATGGACTAATCCCGCCACTGTCTTCACACATCACCAATCAACAACAACACCCGTGTAATAATATTTTTTTTATTATTATTCCTGCGTCGCTTTTTCTTCAAGGTTACTGCATCTCTCTCTCTCTCTTATTTCTTATTAGTTATTTCCCACACTCCCCAAGCACAAGCACCGTGCCCATTCCTTCGCTCTTCCCCTCACATCAACGCTTTCGTGCACTCAACAACTCTCTCAAACATGGCGTCACCAACAGCGGTTTTCCAGACCCAATCGCTCTATATAAAGCCCCGCCTCGCCCCACCGCCTCCCCAATTCCGCTCCCTTTTCTTGGCGACGGGGCTGACGGCGGCGTTTCGAGGGCTTCGGGCGACGATGCCGAGGAAGGCGGTTATTGTGTCGGCGACGACGGCGGCGGAGAGGCCGAAGAGGAAGGGGGAGTCGAAGGGGTTCGTGGAGGAGATGAGGTTCGTGGCCATGAGGCTCCACACGAGGGACCAGGCGAAGGAGGGCGAGAAGGAGGTTAAGCAACCCGAAGAGAAAGCCGTTACGAAGTGGGACCCAACGGTTGAAGGTTACCTCAAGTTTCTTGTGGATAGTAAGGTCGTTTATGATACGCTAGAGAACATCGTTCTCGAGCCTCCTCATCCTTCTTGTGAGTTTCTCTTCCCTTCCCTTCATTTTTTTTTTTAAATTTCTTTTCGTGGTAATTTTATTTATTTTTTCACTATAATTTTTTTTTTTGTCGGTGTGTGTTTTAAACGCGGTGTTTGGGGCTTGGCTTGTGGTTTTCTGTTTGTCGATGGAAATACCTTGTAACTTATAAATAGTTTTTATAAGATTGAATTAGACTCGAATGATAATATACAGGTTTTTTTAGGATGATATCGGAGCCTGTTTTAACGAATAATCAGAGTATTGATGAAGGCAAATTAGTGTAAATATGAGGAAAGGAATTCTCTGTTTATTAGTTGATTTTGTAAGATTAAGATAAGATTCTAATTCTTTGTAATTTGTTTTGTATGGTTCTGCTAACATGTGTTGGTGATTGTGCAGTCGTTGTAGGGGCTAAGTGTACGTGTGTTCTGCATTTCTGTAGGGTCTTGCTTTTTGCATGAGTTTTTTGTGATTTTGATTTAACTCCAAGCAATGATGAGTCCCAATGAATAACTGTTGTTATAATTGATGTTTGCAAGAGTGAGTAGTGGTGAAATGTTAACCTCTTTATTGTTTAATTGACGAGGCTGCTGCTTATACTTGTTTTTTTTTTTTTTTTTTTTTTTTTTTTTGACTCTGCTGTTGCTCTTTGGCTTGTTTTTCACATCATTGTTATTGTTATGATGATGATGATTTTTTGGATTTTAACATTATGACGTTATTCTGCTTTCAACTTGCTGGTTTATGTTTTTGTTAGTAGTGGGTTGTGCTGCGAGGTAAGGTAGGTGAGATCATTGTGAGCGGCTAAGAGCTAAATGTCTGTGTGAGTTGTTGCGATTAATAGCTGTTTGAAAATGGTTCTCAAATATTGATTGCTATGAAAATTGGAAAGCTCTTTATTTTTCGTCTCATTTTTCATTTTGTTTTATAACTTTGGTGTTGCCGTGCCTATACAGTGAGGTGTATAAGATCTCCAATTTTCTGACTAATATTTGTGTGTGAAGTCATCTGTAATACAATGGAAGTTCAGGTACGTTTTGAGTTGTTGAGAGGTTACCGTTGTAGATACAAGTGTGACAGACAGGGTGGTTTCAATTACAAGGTCATTTCGTGTAACTGTGTAGAATGATCTTTCGGCAAATTCTTTGAGGTTTGACTTGATAATGCTAATTGTGTTAATTTCATGTTAAAAAAAGTGGGCATGATTGTTCAAAATCCTAAGGGTTTCTTGTTGTTATCCATTTAGTTGTTGTATTCTGTACTTCTTTAGCCTATCTACAACTTTTGTTTTGGGGTTCCCTAGTGTATCTATGTTCTCAACTAATCCGATTGTTAAATGCCTAATGCTTCTGTTTTATTGTGTAGATGCTGAATTCAGAAATACCGGATTGGAAAGGTCTGCAAGTTTGGCACAAGATTTGGAGTGGTTCAAGGAGCAAGGTCATACCATTCCTGAACCTTCTTCTCCTGGTCTTACCTATGCGCAATATCTTAAGGAGCTATCTGTGAATGATCCCCAGGCATTCATTTGCCACTTTTACAACATCTACTTTGCTCATACAGCTGGCGGTCGAATGATTGGGAAAAAGGTAACCAATCTCATGCATGCTAAAAGAGGTTAAATTATGTAGTGGGTCACATTGTTTATGAGCACATTCTTGGTTGAGAGCTATTTGTGGGCAGGAACATCGGTTTTATTATTTATAGGCACGTTCATATCTGGGGATATTTCCATTTTTCCTCACCATGTGGCATAGTCGCTATACTATACATCTCTGCTGAGGATGTTAGGAATATCTCATCTTTCCTTTACATGGTATAATCCCCAAAGTTTTACATCTGATACCTGTAGGTATATATTATCTGGCATGCCTGATGTTGGCTATTGTCATATTAGTTGTATCCTATAAACAGATATTTGTAGAGTTGTGTAACTTGTACTATATGTTTTGTTTATTTTATCTCTGCATCAAACATATTCTTGTGTGTAGCTATTAGTATGCTGATGGTAATTAATCAATTTTACTAATTGAATGCATGCATTTGTAAATTAGAACAGCGCTTAAAAAAACGATAGACATCTCAGCCCAAAGCCCTTGCTGAAGCATTTTGATTATAGGTTTTTTAAAAGTGAAATAAGCAATACAACTGAAACTGAATGCAACTAGCCAGAAAAGATTCAAATAATGCTGTTTCCAATTAATAAAAAAGCATAGAATGAAAAGAATCGATGACAAGCATTTTGCATATCTGTGGTTTCCTACTACTTTTGGATGAATTTGTTTTTCCAATTGCAAATCATTCTTATAACACTGCTCATCCTTTTGATTATAGTAAGAAGTAAGTTTCTTTAAGTTCTAAATATTTTTCTTTCATTTTCACCCGATGAGTTAAACACACTAATAATGTATTTTACTTTATCCTTTCTAATTCTATACTCAATAAGTTCTTCCCGGCATCTGACAGGTTGCTGAAAAGTTACTTAACAATAAGGGGTTGGAGTTTTACAAGTGGGACGGTGACCTCCCCCAGTTGTTGCAGAATGTGAGGGACAAGTTGAATAAAGTTGCTGAAGTAAGTTTCCTGAACTTAATTATTTGCATACATTTCTTTCCCATCTTCTAAGGAATAATCAATATGTTTATTTCTATTATGGATTTATCTTCAATTAGCCAAGGATACCGACTAAGCTTTTAAATTTTCTTAGGGTGTTGAATATTCCTTTGTTGTTTTATCAGGAATGGACTCGGGAAGAAAAGGACCATTGTTTGGAAGAAACAGAAAAATCATTCAAGTTATCTGGAGAGATTCTTCGTCTGATTCTATCGTGATAATAGGTGGCCTGACCTGCTATCTGTGTAATTATGGGTATTAAAGTGCATGGCGGAAGCCAAAAACATTATTATGTGTATTATTTAATTTCAACAATATAAAGGAATAACAAAACTGATGTTGCATGGAAGCAGCGTATTGTTGACTAAATTGCTCTTCTCAAATGGGGCTTATAGTTATTTGTTGCTGTGAATAGAATATTTTATGGGTGATCCTGAGCCAAAAAGGGCTACTGTAATATTGATAGAAAGTGATCTTTATTGATACAAGTAATGTTTAGACCAACTCCTTAATTACTCGAGAATAGAAAAATGCAGAAATTGAAAGATACATTTAGAGTTCTGTATATATGTTAAATAAATCTCTTGCCCAAATATACTTACTTTTCATCCAATTCTGGCCTATCTTGCTTTATCTATCTTTTCGTCTTACATTCTTGTCCCATATGAACTGTATACTCATCCTTAGCATGATTTTTATTTTCTCTTATGTCCTATTCTTTGTGTTTAGCCTTCTATGTCTCATTCTCTTTGTAGCATTTACCTTATAGTGTCTATCAATACTCCCCCATTAAGATTCACGGAGAAGGATCAGGTCAGGGTCCTATCAAAGTGAGTGAAACATCCACCACCAGCTCAAATTTCATGAAGCATACACAGCACTATTTCAAATTATTACTTGTCCATTCTGCATTACTACTCACAATTTTGGCTAAAACGAAGTGTAATTGTAGTTTTATTAACATTAACATTGTATCTTCATTAACACAACTGACAAGATGTAGGTTGAGTCTCCATTTATCATTTTGTAGCAAGATAAACAAAATCGGTTTGTGTCAGTTTTTCTCCTCTGGCAAAATTTACTAGTTGTAAAAGAAGAAAACATTAACACAAGTGAACCATGGAGGGAGATTCCACCCATGAATATGATACCTGTTAGTTGGGTACCCCCGTGGAAGATCCGAGATTGAATTTCTATCTTTCACCAACTGCACTAATGCTGCATGAGTGTGTTCATGAAGGTCTTTTCCTCCCCCAGATGATAAAATATTTGTTCATGAAGGCCTTCGCATCCTACACGGTATAATATTCATCTCCAAAACGATAAGGAGCGAGAGTAGTCAAGATTGCTCTTCATATTATATGACTGAACCCTTTTGCACCAGACCCCTCAATTTTGCAAATACATAACCTGTAGCTCAAACACTTTCTCTGAATTCATGCCTACCTCACACTACTTATTACAACTCGTGTATTCTGAAACCCCACTTCACGTTATTTACTTATTTTCTTTCCATCCCATCATTTAGTTATGTTCCAGACTTGACAATCCTCGTGTTTTTAATCCTTTTTTTGTTTTGTTTTTTCATCCCTTCCCTCAGTAATAGGAGTGATACGATATCAACGTCGACATTTTTTGACTTTGCTATTTGGTTATTATTCTCAATGGTTCATAGAGTTCGTGGGAACTTACCTGTCACTGGCTTTAGTTTTTCAAAGATATCTTAAAAAAAGAATATTGTATTTAATTTATTAAAACAAGTAATTCTTTATTCTAATGAATTCTTTCGACAAATCTCTGAATGGTTCAAGCACCGTTTGCTTAAATTATTACTTACTGTTTTAAATGATTATGAAGATGGAAGAAAATTTGTTAAGAATTGTACTTGTCTAAATCTGAGGACCGAACAAGAGTTTCGGGTGGATGCTTTAGAAGGGGGAGGTACCTGCAAAAGGTACTTCGACGCTTAAGCTAGGATAAACACAGATCTCGATGATAATAAATGAACAGTGACATACCTCGTTTTACGTGACCTATTTATACTACTTGTGATGGGCCTTGAACGTGGTGGGCCTCTTCTGACACTTACCAAATTAAGTAATACGGTGCTAATCGGCTGATTATACCTTAATCACGTGTTTGTCCTCGTTAATCATGATTGTTGTCTTAATCCCTGTGTTTGGTTGTATCGGCCGTTGGCCGAGCCGAGAGGTGTAAGACCAGGGTTGCCTTTTCAAGTCTCGGCCTCTTGCCGGGCTGAGGCGTCATTAAGAGGGCCAGCAAGTTACACTACCCTGGCCAAGCCTTTGATGGTCTCTACCGTGTCCAAGAGCCGTATCAAGCTAGCTGTGGAAGTCTTCATGCTCCGATTATCTGGGCGGCCGAGATGGTCGAGACTAGTACGTCAACTACCTTTGTCTCGATCGTCGATAGGTGTCACGTGCCGTATCACGTGACCGATAGGATCCTTCCGGTACACAAGCCCCCAGCCTTGAGGAGCGAAGCGACGTAAAGGGTAGACATGCCACTTCATCTGTGGCGGGTGGGTATCAACATGAGGGAGTGTCGATGTGTCCCTTTAGTTGTAACGGTTGGGCATTTAAGAAAGGGAATTTGAAGGGGTGTCGACGCCACTTCATCTGTGGCGGTTGGGTATCAACATGAGGGAGTGTCGATGTGTCCCTTTAGTTGTAACGGTTGGGCATTTAAGAAAGGGAATTTGAAGGGGTGTCGACGTGTCCCTTTAGTTGTAACGGTTAGTCATTTAAGAGTATGAATTTGAAGGGGTATTGATTCTTGACCATTGGATCAACTTGATCCAACGGTTCAAAGGGTGCGTCGTTTGACATTCTCGTCTCAAGATTATTATGAATAGGCATGTGGTGGGGACCAAAGCACGCATACGTGGTTTAATTGCTCCAGGTCGACATCGAGACCAAGCTTGAGTGCTTCAGAGTGAGACAATTACCAACCAAGATCGATCCAGTTCATTTGAGGTACGTTTCTTTGGCTTTTATTGAGGGGGTGTGGATGTTAGGATTGTACAGGTCGATTCCTCTGAGGATACGGGGTTTGGTTCTGCCAATGCCGAATTGCGCTCATCCTCTGACCATCCTGGTACTTCAGCCTTGACGTCAAATGGTTTAGGCAGTGTTGAGATCGTCCAAGGGTTTGAGCGCGCCAAGAGAGGGGAGGAACCTTCGCCTATTTCAGTGTTCGAGGGTCGTCCACACACGCACAAGGTCAGATTGGTCTCTCGCCGTTTCCTTCCCATCCAAGTCCCCGGTTACAAGTGGGTGCACGAAGAGGTGGGAAGCGTATTTTCTCGTTATACCAACAGGAATTCTATTGCTCTATTGGTCTCTGCCAAGAAGTTTTTGACGTTTTCGAAGGAGGAGGAGCCATCGACCATCTTCTTTCAACCTTGCCAAAACGATGAGGGGCCGAATCCCAATTTTGTCTTTTTGGACCAAGGGAATTGCAAATACCAGTATTTCTATGTGTATGACTATTTGTTTCGGGACCTGGGAGTGACTCTCCCTTTCTACGAGTTCTTTGTGGGTGTGCTTCGACTCTTGAATGTGGCGCCGACGCAACTGCATCCCAACAGTTGGGTCACCATGCAAGGGTTTCGGCAACTGTGTTTGTCACTTAACATCAAGCCGACTCTCTTCTTGTACTATTATTCGTCCCAGCCGACCAAGAAGGAAAAATGGCTTTCCTTGTTTCGGAATGCCAACTGCTTGTTGCAGCCGTTTACTTCGTCCTACAAAAAGTTTAAAGTTGAATTTTTCAAAGTGATGATTCGGCCAAGCACCGGGAACAAATATTTCTTCGATGCCAAAGGGAACTCATTATTCCTGTTGTATTAGACCCGAGCAGCGAGAAAGTACGACATGGTATCCAAGTCACGGATGTCTCTAGAGGAACGAACCGACTTGGGCTTCCTCAAAAAACCGTCCCGGCCCCTGCCGTGCCAATACTTGGTTTGGCTGATTAAATCATCGCAGGTGACTAGCGGTTTAATCAGTATAGCATCTTTCCTACTTGTTTAAATTCATGTGTTATCATTGATTTTGTCTAATGGTGTGGAGGTATCATGACGAGTTGCAGGAGTGATGACCTTGATATTCGCAATTTGATTACGGGCCGAGTGGCCGGTCCTATGACGACGAGGTGTGGCTGAAGGCCAGCCCAGCGAGAACCAGGTTCCCTCTTCCTATGGTGGTAATGTCGGGATGACTGGCAAGGGGAAAGAAAAGGGCTCCAAGGACACGCCTCGGCCCAAGGCTGGAAAAAGAAAGCCTGACGAGGGGAGGGCCGAAGACGAGGCATGATGACTGAAGTAGCAGAGGCTGCTGACTATTACTGTCCCCCAGCCTTGGTAGGGTCGAGCTTCTTCTCGGCCAAAGTCAACGCTCAGGATTTCTTGAGCCAAGACTTGACATCGGAGGAGGGGCAAGCCTGCCTCGATCGTATGGACTCTCTTCACAAGTGGAGTCACTTTTGTGAGCTTCAACTTCGTGCTTTGGTTTTAGTTCAAAGCATTATAATGGAGCCGAATTCGGAGGTCGATGAGCTTCGTAGGAAGTTTTCAGACTCCAAGAAGTTCGTGCAGGAGACTTTGGCTGCGTTGACTGATGCGCAAACTAGTAACAACAAGTATCAGGCCGAGACAGACTGCCGAGGTTGGGTGAATGATGATTTGAGGCTATAGGTCCAAAGGCTTGAGAACTCCTTGAAGGCCGAGACCGAGAAGGTGGGCCGATTGGCCGGGGAGCTGAAGGCAGAGAAAAAGGCTTATAAGGCCTATAGGTAGAGGGCTCGCAGCAAGGTTCTCTCTCAACATGAGGCCGGCTTTGCTCAGGCAGCTCGGCAAGCTCGCCTCTTTGGAGGCTTTCCTCGCGACTTCCATTTTGATATGTCGAGGGATTTCTTCCAAGGGGAGCTTGTGAACTTGACTCAGATCCCCCAATGAACGTCCTGATGCCAAGGCACCTGTTCCTCGCCAAGAAGAACCGACTAGTGAGGATGAGACGGTGTATGAGGAGGAAGAGGCTGCCGAGGAGGAGGGTTCAGTCAATGAAGAGCTCGACGTGGAGTCTTGAGTCTTTGTATTATGCTTTGGGCCGACAGAGCCCCCTTTTTGTAATCTGGGCCGACAGAGCCTCTTAATGAAATTGCGTTGTTTATCTTATTATTTGGTATCGTCTTTATTTGCTAATTGATGCTTCTTGAGATAAAATAACTGCCATAAACTAAGTCACGTCCTTGGCCGAGAGGAGTCTTGGGAGGGAAGACTAATTTTCAAATGAACCAAGCCACGTCCTTAGCCGAGAGGAATCTCGGGAGGGAAGACTTTGAATTTTTTAATGAAGTCACTTCCTTAGCCGAGAGACGTCTCGGGAAGGAAGACTTTTAATAAATGAATTAAGCTGCATCCTTGGCCGAGGGGTATCTCAGGAGGGAAGACTTGTGAATTTTTTAATGAAGTCACATCCTTAATCGAGAGACATCTCGGGAAGGAAGACTTGTAATAAATGAATTAA